GCAGATGGCATGGCAACCCTTACAGAACTAGGAGTTACATATCTTCCGTTTGAAACATCCCCACACCGTCCTGTTGTAGCACAATCCGCAGCCTAAGATCTCAGGAACATTCTGGAGGCCCTCCGAGCGCAAGTAGAGCCATGCCTCTGAGGTTCTGAATCCACCAGACTTGTCGCTAGGTTGGTCCTGCTCAGCAGTGGCCATTGGATCTACGAGTTCCACCTCAGCACAACTGCAAATGAGATTGCCACCCTCATCAAAATGCACTTCCACATGCTCCTCATCCTGGGAATCTGCATCTTCATCAGAAGATAGGCCCTCCATCTCAGCCAAGAGATCCTCCAATCCTTGCTGGAGCGAACAAAACTCTTCATCAGGCTGCGCAAAGGGCACAATGACGCCCATGTGTTCCACATTCTCTGCGGTTTCACCCGGCGGCGGTTCATCCTCGGGCAGACCATCACTACCCGAATCCGCATACTCCTCAAAGCCAGGGACGCATCCAGCCTGCTTGATGTAAGCTGGGTCTAGCTCCAGAGTCACTTTGCCGATCCCAACTTCTGCTTTCACCACGCGCAGGGGAGTCCATTGCAAGATCCCAAGCTTGACCTCCAGCTTCTGGAAATTGAAGAGGACCAATGTTGATTTTGAACCGGCCTTGGCTGTCGGAGATGCGCCTAAAAGCTCCCCCCCCCCCAAAAAAACTTGCGTGTTGTAAAAGTTGTTTACCGATTTCACCGTCACCCATACTTGGCAAAACAAACTTGCCCAGACTAGGGTCTTTCAATCTCATGTGGCCGTTGTCTTCAGTCACAAGATGGTCTTTCGTATATCTTGCAGTCGCAGGTTGCCCTGACCCATGCATTAGGAGAAGAGGCTTGGTGGCGTCGGCAATGATGCGATCGTACTTCTGCTGCTTGATCCTGCCTTTGTTCAACATCTTGGTCGCTTCATCAACCTGTAGTTGGTAGGCTGCAAAATGCTTGTCCACAAACTGCTGCATGAGAGCCGGCAGCAGTACCCAGACCTGCGCCTCGAACCCAGATTCACTACCATCGAGCTCATCTATCTGGGGGTCCCTCATTTGCCACAAATGGACAGCACGCCCTTCAACACTCTCTGCAAGGGCTTGCGGAATAGTTGGCCTGCACCATTGCAAACCCCGGAAGCCAATGTTCTATATCTTCCAATTGAACAGAATGCCCTGCAAAGAATGCTAAGGATTGGAACCAGGAAGCTCCTTTTCCAAACCCTTTTACATTACAGCTTGTTGACATGCACCAAGGTGAACTCCGGGAGCCAATTTCCGATATCTTCCATTTGAACAGAAGGCCTTTCTCAGAAAGCTACGGGTTGGAACCCAGAATCTGTTCTTCTCCAAACTCTTTCAATTACAGTATGTTGAAATGCAATGTAGACTGCGGGAGACAATGTTGGATTATATAAATTAGAGTATATAGTAATATATATATATAGTATACACGCATATATATATATATATATATCCATTTGAATAGAAGGAAGGTCCCGCCGGTCCTGCTGAGAATATGCTAGGGGTTGGAACCAACCTTTCAAAAAACACCTTGTTGAGCAAACTCCGGGAGCCCATTTCCTATATCTTCCATTTGAACCCCAGAACGCCAGGTTGACTTCAAAAGTGATGCGGGCGAGGCACGGCAACAGCAAAGGAATCCCTGGCACAAGCTCTTTCAATGTGGCGGAAGAACACTTGATCGCCTTGCCATCTTTGAAGACCTCTGGCCGAAGAGCCTGCATTTCCTCATCCGTCACCAAGCCGCGCGAGGTCCATGACCAACACATCACAGACGGATACTTCTGTAGTTCTTGCCAGCCAAAAACCAAAGATTTGATTGATGCCTCTGGACTGATCTCCAAATGCTTTTGGCCGTTCACACCTAGCTCAACCGGCGAGTCGAATCGCTCCAGGCCAGGGACATGGTAACCAAGATGTGCGTCTGTGAAATAGTTGCACAAGCGCCGGAAGAGCCCGTGAAATGCATCACACGGTTGTCCAGCTGCTGACCATCCCCCCCGGCGGTTTAACCGGGAGGATGCAGTTCACCTCAGTGCCCCATCGCTCTCTTCGCTTGTCCTCGTTGGACCGGAATGCAAAATTGCCTGTAAAGGCGTCGCATATCAGCATGGCTGGCACCGACCCATCCAACTTCAGATGAGCACGGCGTAACTGTATGGCCTTGGGGATTCAATTTGAAGTGGTTTGCATCTCGTAATTACCCACCACTGACACTACATCCTTTGCTTAACCAAATGGAAGAAAATGAAGGGCGCTATGCGCAAGGCAAGGTGCTGGGCCTAGAAGCTCCTCAAAGTAGACCAGTGTTGTGTCACTGGTCATAAAATGGGACTCTGAGCCGCTCTCAAATACCAGAACATGGGCACGCCACTCATCATTGAAAGCCTTCAGCCAACTGGCAGAGACTCGGCCAGATGGGATGCAGACCCCTAAAGGCCCGACTTCCCCGTTCCCCCCAGGTTGATGTGATGGCTGTAATGCCCAACCTTCCACCTTGAACCATCTCGGATCGGGCGGCGGATCTCTGCAGCTTTGATTGCGGCCCGCTGGCCATGTTTTTCTGCATCTCTTCTGCGACAATTTCCAAAACTGCATTGAGCCTCTTCCCCTTCACAAAATCAGGCCGAATGTCACCTTTGCCCTCGATTTGTTTCCTCTGCCACTTTTTGTGCAAGACACGTTTGGGAGGCTCGTGCCCGGCACGCCACATTTGGTCGTAGTTGAGCACCAATGCCCAGGGAACCTTTTCCATTTCTCTTTGTGCCCGATGGGTCTTGCGAGTTTCCTTGCCCAGCTGTTCTAAATTCAAAAAGGAAACAGCCGTGCAGGCCAATCAAATGGAAGATATATAACCAGGAAAATGAGACAGGTTCCCTTCAAAAGCGATATATATATATATAACTGATAAGAGCTTCAAAACTTGAAAATTGTCCTAGGAAAACTTTGTGGAAATTCTTTATTAAACTCATATCAAAAATTGCAAAAAAACTCCAGATTGTAGGCAGGTATCTTCCATAAGCTTGCACTCATATGGTAGATATGCACCGCGCGTGTTGGAGGCTTGAACGCTCCAACACCAATGGTGCAAAAACCTGTGCACCCAGAATCTGTCCACACTCTTCGCAAATCTCAATGGCTTTGCACTTTCTTCTTGACAATATTCATCACGCAGCTCCGTCCACGTTGCCAGCAATGACTTTGCAACTTCCAAGAGGTTGGCCGTTTTGATCTTGCCAGCCGTTTGCAAGTCCCTCTCCGGTCCTGCAACCAAACGCTCAAGAACTTCGTTCAGGGCTGCTTCCACGGCAAAGGGCACTCTTTTCTCGTGGCCCTTGGAAAAGCGCTCCTCCAAACCAAGGGCCTTGCGTAGCCAGTTAGGTAGCTGGCGCATAGAAAGGACATCTGCTTTGCTGAGCATGTTCCAAGGAATCTTTTCATGGTGCTCGGCTTCGTATGTCCTTCCATGACAAATGGATCTCCCTCCCAGCGTCCCATCCAGCACAGCACAGAATGGTTTTGGTTGATAAGCAATTTCCTTATATTTCTTCCATTTGAAGCGCTTTGGTGAACCTTTACCTGAAAGAACAAACAAAACAGATTCTATCCAAATACAATTCTAACCCAATTATATATAAATATATACCCCTCTGCAACTTCCATGTTCACCCAAGCAGGCCTCATCCATTTGCCCAGCAAGCCGCTCTTGTAGCCTCCCTTCTTGGACTCAAGGGACTTGAACTCTTTCGGAAATTGCGCCACGACCTCCTTCTCGATGTGAAAACACCTGTCGGATTTCTGCAGCTCCTTTGCAAACTCAACAATTTCGCATTTCCTTTTCAAAGGAATGGAAGCATTCCTCTTGTTCCACTCATCTTCATCCGCGCCGTCACCATGATCAGGTGGCTCCTCAACTGCGTCATCCTGGCGCTTTCTTTTGCGGGTCCGTCGTTGTCTCTTTTGAGATTCTCTCTTGCCATCCTCATCAGCTGTAGGTTCAGTAGACAAATTCCTCTTCTTTTGGTTTTGGCACCCAAAAGGCCGTCCCGGCCTCCCCTTGGGAACTGGCAATTGCTTGATCTCCTCGAGGTTGGTTTGACCTCCGATTCGG